GGACTTAACCTTTTTGCCTAGTTCATGCTTGTCCTTTGGCAGGCAGCATGAATGTCGCTTCTCAGGGAAGCCTTCCAAAACCCTTAGTCCTATACCAGGCACAGTCCCTGATTCCAAGTGGTGGAAAAGTAAACTTAAAGTAACTTAAGCCAAAAAGGATGGTGGTTTAGATAACAGAAAAGCCCAGGGAGTATCTGGCTTCAGGTAATGTTGGGTCTAGCTCTCAAATGACATCACCCAGACGCTGCCTATTGACAAATCTCTCACCTTCCCTCTGTGAGACTCCAGACTTGGGCGGTCTCTCCCCTGAGGCCTCCATGGCAGCTCCAGATATTTGACCTTCTTGCTTAGAACTTCCCTTTCCCAGTGATCCCTACTAAAGTCCCAGAGTTGAACCTCATTGACCAGAAGTAGGTTGCCTGCACATTTTTGGCCAATCATTGAAGTGGTCAGGGAGTGGAGTGCTCTGATCGGCCAGGATCATGTACCTACCCTAAACTCATCCCCTCCTGAATCACATAGACTGATGGAAAAGTGGGTCCCCAAAGGAACATTAGGAAGATGAGGGCATGAGATGGGGTGGGAACAACAACAGCAGTTCACAACAGGCCTCTAGTTATGAAATTTCCTTTTTTTTTGAGTTGGAGTCTCACTCTGTCGCCCAGACTGGAGTGCAGTGGCCGTTCCCAGCCACCGCAGCCTCGACCTGCTGGGCTCCAGCGATCCTTCTGCCTCAGCCTTCCAAGTAGCTGAAACTACAGGCGTGCACTACCACACCCGGCTAATTTTTTGTTTTATTGTAGTGATGAGGTCTCACCAAGTTGCCCAGGTGGGTCTCGAACCCATGGGCTCAGGCAATCCACTCACCTCAGCCTCCCAAAGGCGCGGGATTACAGGCTGAGCCACCGAGTCCGGCTTAGTTATGAATTTTCATAGCATCCTGCAATTTGCCTTTGTAACATGTGCTGGCTTTTAAAGCCTATGACGTAATTTGAGTGACTGCTTAATGAGTGTCTATTTCTCTATCTAGATTGAAACCCTAAGGGCAGGGATTATGTGTGCTTACAGATAATGGTAGCTACAGTGCCTGACACAAAATAGGTGATCATCAAATATTTACTGGATGTATGGACTCACTTCACTGCTCTCACAAAGGCTCTGTTTACTCACACTTGCCAGAGGTGATATGAAAAGCTGGCAACCAGTCTCCTCATTTTGAATTAGATTTGGCTGCAGACACAGCCAGAACCTCTGTCCCAGCTGTGCCCTGGGATGATCTGCGCCAAGGAAATGCTGTTCTGCAGAACTGGGCACATCTGCTATGTAACCGATGACAACTAGAAGCTGTTGTCAGGTAGTACAACCCCTGGGGTGGGGTGGCAGCAGACAGGGCAGGGGAGAGGGAAGATTTTGAATTCTGCTGCGCTACAGTGCCTGACAGACTATCTTGAGCAGACTTATCTTTAGCCTCTCAGCGTCTGTGGTGGTATGTTTGCGTCCATGTATTTTAAGGAAGAGGCTGAACTCTGGAACGGCACACAGGTCTCTTAGCTTATACTCCGCAGAACCAGTACTTGAATATGGGTCTTTCAAATCCAGACCAGCTCAGGTTCAACTCCAGGCTCTCCACTAGCTTGTAGTGTGACCTTCAGTAAGTTTCTCTCTGGAAGCCCAGTGTTCTCTTCTGTGAAACGGGCATGGTTATCCTTATTTGAAGAGAGTGCTGTGGGATGGTATGAGCGGAAGACCCAGGCATGGAGTAGGCACTTACCTTTCCTCTCATTACAGATGTTGCTTCTGCTAAGTTGTAGCTTCTAAGTGCCTCCCCTGCTGTGATTGAAACAAAAAAGTAAGATAACCAGGGGTCTGTTTGGGTTCAACTAGAAAATGAAATTCACACCTGACCACAGGACACACTTGTCACTCAGGACACAGTCCAGGAAGCAGCTTGTCCGAGGACAGCACCAGGCCCTTCCTATCCATGGGAGTCCTCACAGCAGTCCAGGATCTAGTCGTATTTGGTCCCAAGATGACGATGACCACTCAGGTCTGGGAGAGGATATTCACACTGGGTAGCTCAGCACAGGTCTAGAGACTCTTGCTCATAGGAGCCAATGTCTCTTGTAATCACAGCTCCATGAGCAGAGCTTCCAAGGTGCCTGCAGGAGATATACTCAGTTCTAAGAGCCATTGCACACAGCAAAGTCCAACATTATGGCATCTCCATCAGACATTTGTACTTCATTCATGGTCTTCCCAGTTCACAAGCAATTCACCAATCAAGGGTCATTTTAATATAAGAAATGTTGCCTGGCAACACAGCCAGCATTCTACCTTTATGTGGTTTCTAGGGTTGACAGAATTGGTACGTTAACCCAAGGTCAAATTTGTTCTAAGAGGAGAAAGAGTTTGTAAACTCTTTATCTACAAATATTTACTGATGCCCTTCCTTCTCTCATATGTGTGCGTGCGCGCATGCACGCACACATACACATACACACACAGCCTTTTCCTTGAATCCTTTGCTCTTTTCGCATCTCCTAGTGACAGTCAGTATTTCAGGGAAATAATGAGAAGCAGAAACAAAAGGGAAAAAAATCTTTGAGTTTCAAAAGCCAATACTTTTTGTAGAGATGCAGTCTGGCTATATTGCCCAGGTTGTCTCAAACTCCTGGACTCAAGCAATCCTCCTGTCTTGGCCTCCTAAAGTGCTGGGATTACAGGCATGAATCACCATACCCAGCCAAAAGCCAATACTTTCAAGTTTCAAATGCTAGAACTTTGAATTCCGAGGCCAAGATTTGTATGTTTCCAATGCCATTTTGATTTTCCTGAGTCTGGCCTTTTGGGTTTAAGAACCCAAGCCCTGAGTCAGAGCTTAGGTTCATGTTCTAATCAATAGATTTGGGGAGAACAGGTGAAGAGCTAGGTGACCGAGCCCCAGAATATCGAATGATTTTCTGGACTGGGGAAGGGAGGATGAGGGATGAGGTCAGTAGGGTGTGACCAGGGACCCAGACTTGAAAGGCTTTGGTTATCCTTGTGGGCTTCAGTGAGGAGAATGACTCAGAAGCAGCAGGAAGGGCACTGGTCATGCTCTGGGCATCTCTCAGATCCACCCGACTTACCTCCTGTGCACCTTGCCTACTTGCCTACTTGGGGTAGTCAGGGTGCCTGGGGCCTAGCAAGGTGTGGTAGCCTGGAGGAAGCCTGTGTTCTGGTACTGGGGTGCTTCTGAGCACAGCACACTTGTGGTCTCCCCTCCAATGGAGTAGTGGGGAACCCCAACTGCACTCTCCTGGACCACCACACCCCAGGAAGATGCAGGCAGATGTGGCCTGATGGTAGGTGTGTGTGTGAGGGCAGGAGATAGACTGTCTCCAGGGAGAACTACTGATTTGATTTCAAATTGGTCAGTGCAGTCATAGTCGGAATCCCAGTTTCCCTGTGTGACCCAAGCAAGGTCATTGATTCATTCAACAAAAGGGTTTTGAAAACAAAAGGCTTTCTTCTCTGACCTCAAGTTCTGCAGCCAGGCTGCCTGGGATTCTCAGTTCTACTACTTCCTTGGGCAAGTTATTCCATCCCTTTGTGTCTCAGTTTTCTCATTTATAAAATGGGACCAAAAGCAGTACCCACCTCGTGGGCCATTTGGAAGTTAAAAAGAATTAGTAACAGGCATGTGGTCAATATTTCATCAATGTTGAAGTGTTGGGTACTGTTCCTGTATCTCAATACCTTTCTCTCTCTCTCTCTCTCTCTCTCTCTCTCCCTCTCCCTCTCCCTCTCCCTCTCTCTCTCTCTCTCTCTCTCTCTCTGTTTCTTTCTTTCTTTCTTTCGAAAGCAGGATTAGCCGGGCTCGGTGGCTCAGCCTGTAATCCTGCGCCTTTGGGAGGCTGCGGTGAGTGGATTGCCTAAGCCTGCGGGTTCAAGACCCACCTAGGCAGCGAGACCTCATCTCTACAATAAATCAAAAAATCAGCCAGGCATGGTAGCGCATGCCTGTAATTCCAGCTACTCGGAAGGCTGAGGCGGAAGGGTCTCCAGAACCCAGCAAGTCGAGGCTGCGGTGGCCGGGAGTGGCCACTGCACTCCAGTCTGGGCGACAGAGTGAGACTCCAACTCAAAAAAAATTAAAAATAAGTAAATAAAATTAAAAAAGAAAGCAGGATTTATTGAGATAATGGAAAAACTTCCACAGTGGGAGGGGACTTGAGGGAGTTGCCCTTTTAAAAATATTTTTTTGACTTGGAATCTCACTGTGTTGCCCAGGCTAGAGTGCGGTGACACACTCACAGCCATCCCAGCATCGACCTGTTGGGTTCCGGCGATCCTTCCGCTGCAGCCTTCCAAGTAGTCAAAACTACAGGCACCACACCTGGCTAATTTTTGATTTATTGTAGAGACAAGATCTTGCCAAGTTGCCCGGGCTGGTATCGAACCCGCAGGCTCAGGCAATCCACTTGCCTCGGCCTCCCAAAGTGCTGGGATTACAGGCTGAGCCCCTGAGCCCAGTCTGTCTCAATGCCTTTCTATGCACCAGCAGTGCAGGAGAGAACAAGATGAAGAATCAGCTTCATGGGGCTTATATGATAGTGGGGGAGACTGATAGTAACAGCACCACATCCAACCTCTTTCTTTGAAAGAAAGAAGAAGCAGGGTAAAGCGCTGTTCCTCTACCCTCTGACACTGACCCCTCTGGGGTAATGAGGGGACATTACACCTGTGTCCAGCACCAGTTGGGCATTCAGATGGTGCTCACTGATGGTGTGCCTGTCCCCTCACCTGTTCACTCTCTTGCACAGCTGCCCAAGTGGCCAGTTGCGACCTGCCTCCTCTCTATCTGGAGAGTCTCACTCTTGGGAGCAACAAAGAATCACCAGAATCATAGATACACAAGAAATTCCCACAAGCAGGTTCCCACCAACCAGATGTTCCGATGCCTTCCCCAGGCAGATTAGTGTCCTAGCAATTGGAGAAGAGGGCACTGAGCTCGAACGGCCAAGGCAAGATGGGTCAAAGTCAGAGTGGTGGTCATGGTCCTGGAGGTGGCAAGGATGACAGGGACAAGATAAAGAAATATGAACCTCCTGTACCAGCTAGAGCGGGGAAAAAGAAAAAGAAAACAAAGGGACAAGATGCTGCCAGCAAACTGCCACTGGTGACATCGAACACTTGGTGCTGGTTAAAATGATTGAAGTTGGAGAGAATTTAAGACTATCTTCTCATGGGGGAAGAATTCATTAGAAATCAGGAACAAGGCCAGCTGCGGTGGTTCAGCCTGTAATCTCAGCACTTTGGGAGGCCAAGGCGAGAGGATTGCTTGATCCTGGGAGTTCAAGACTAGCCTGGGCAACTTGGTGAGAACTTGTCTCTACAATAAATCACAAAAAAACAAGCTGGAGGCGTGGTGGCGTGCATCTGTAGTTCCGGCTACTTAGAAGGCTAAGGTGGAAGGATCACCTAAACCCAGCAGGTCGAGGATGTGGTGGCCGTGACCATGCCACAGCACTCCAGCTTGGGTGACAAAAGTGAGACTCCAACTCTAAATAAATAAGTAAATAAATAAATCAGGAGCAAATGAAACCATTAGTAGAAAAGCAGGTGGAGGAAAGGTCAGAAGTGGAGGGTCTGAGGGGGACCCCAATCGAACCTCGGAAGAGATGATTGCTGCCAACCACACCATCGTGTCATCGTTTGTGGGCTCCGAACACTATGTCAACATTCTTTCATTTGTAGACATGAATATCCTGGAGCCAGGCTGCTCAGCTGTGCTCACGCACAAGGTGCATGGCATGATGGGAGTGCTGACGAACAACACAGACCCCCAGTCATGGCAATGAAGGTGGAGAAGGCCCCCCAGGAGATCTGCACTGATATCGGGGAGCTGGACAATCAAATCCAGGAAACTAAGGAATCTGCATAGCTTCCTCTCACCTACCCTTCGTATTATGAAGGCCCTCCAAGGGTGTCATCCTCTATGGCCCGCCTGGCCCAGGTAAAACCCTGTTAACCAAAGCAGAAGCAAACCAAACCTAGGCCACTTTCTTGAGAGTGGTTGGCTCTGAACTCATTCAGAAGCACCTGGGTGATGGGCCCAAACTCATATGGGAATTGTTTCCAATTGCTGAAGAACATGCACCTTTCATCATGTTTGTTGATGAAATTGACACCATCGAGACTAAAAGATACGACTCGAATTCAGGTGGAGAGAGAGAGATTCAGTGGACAATGCTGGAGCTGCTGAACCAGCTGGATGAGTTTGACTGAGGGGAGACATGAAAGTGACCGTGGTCATGAACCAAACAGAAACTCTGGATCCAGCTCTTATCAGAACAGGCCACACTGACAGTAAGATCGAGATCCCCCTGCCTGATGAAAAGACCAAGAAGCACATCTTTCAGATTCACACAGGTTGGATGATGCTGGCTGATAACGTGACCCTGGACGACTTGATCATGGCCAAAGACGACCTCTCCGGTGCTGACATCAAGGTGATCTGTACAGCAGCTGGTCTCAAGGCCTTGAGAGAGTGTAGAATGAAAGTCCCAAATGAAGACTTTAAGAGATCTAAAGAAAATGTTCTTCATAAAAAGCAAGAAGGCACGCCTGAGGAGCTCTATCTCTAGTGAGCCACAGTGGCCACCGGGAAAGTGGTTGGGCATTTTTCTGACCTGAGAAGGACAAGGCTGTGGGAAGCACCCAGAGGAGTCGGTGCTGCAGTTGATATGTGTTAGCAAAGCATCCTCTGTCTCCAGAGAGTGGGGAGCAAAGTGCCCACTGGGTGGGCTCTATTTGTCAGACCCTGTACGAGGCTCTACTTCCCAATAATGCTCTTTCACACAAGAAGGAAGGAAGGAGGGAAGGAAGGAGGGAAGGTAGGAAGGGAGGAAGGGAGGAAGGAAGAAAGGAAAGAAGGAAGGAAGGAAGGGCACCGAATCTGTTTCTCTGGCAAAACAAATGCTCTGGGGTGATATGCGTATTCAGTTCAAGACCTCCTTTCATCACCCCCGTGTTGACCAGGTCAATTTCCTGCTTCAAAAGCTCTCAGTGGCTCCCCATTGTCCCTTGGAGCAAAGAGAACGGAACTCTTGACTTTTCTCCATTAAACCTGTACTCATCTGGATTTCGGGTGCCCAGCCATGCAGAAACCCCCCAGGAGTCCTCTGTGGCTCCTCCTGTGCCCTGCCTCTCGAATGCAGACCATCAGCACACGCTGTAGGCTTTGTCTCCAAGGAGGCGCCCCAGTCAGTTTTCCTCTGCACCGGTTATCCAGGGTGGCAAGGCATCCAGGCTCTGTACATACCACAATACACATTTGCTCGTGTGTCTAGAGTCAGCTGCAGCAGGCTAGGCAGCCCTGCTCATCCTGCCTGGGTTCATGGTGTCACTGGGTTGGCTGCCTGTGGGCTTATCTAGGCTAGCCTTGGCCTGGGGCAGCGTCACACGTCTCTCCTCCTCCACCAGACAAGCCCCATGAACAGCAACGGCAGAGGCAGGAAAGCCAGCACACCCCAAGGGCCCAGGCCCATCACAGCCTGGGTAGGTGTCACATCGCCGGCATCTCACGGACCAAGCAAGTCGTGTGGTCAAGCCCAGAGTGAAGGGCAGGGTGCTGCCAAGTTCAGTGGCACAGGGGTGGGCTGCAGGGGGCAGTGAGGAATCAGGACTGCCTGGTGTGATCCCCCCACCTGCTCTGCATCCCAGCCACTGCCCGCCCTAGGCTACCTCCAGATCAACTGTAGATCTTTCAGGGCTTCTGACTTCCATCCTCTCTCACCCCTCTTGCAGGCCATTCCCTACCCAGAATCCCAAGGGAACTTCTAAAAATGTAAATCTGATCATGTCTCTCCCCTGCTTAAAATTCTTCCATGGCTCCCCGTTGCCCTTAGAATGAGGTCTAAACTTCTTACCAAGAACTACAAGGCCCTTGGGATCAGGCTTTGCCATTTTCCAACTTCATTTTTCCACTGTCTCTCACCCCTTGAATCTTTCAGCCACTGAGGTCCTCACCTAGCACCCCACGCAGTCTAAGCTGGCTCCCTCTTCCTGTCTCTGCACTTGCTGTTTGCTGGGCCCAGACACTTTCTTCTTACGCCTCTTGTGTCAACTTCTTCTCTCCACTTAAATCTTCGCCAAAATGCCACATTCTCAGAGAAGTCTTCTCTGATCATCCTCCCTGAAGTAGATTCTACTTTGTTTCTGCCCCTTTATTTCCTCCTTGCCACTCTTTATATATGATATAGTGTTTAACTTTCCCCCATTGTCTTCCTCTTTAGAACGGAAACTCCATGAGGGTAGAATCTTCTGCATCTGTTCACCCTTTATGCTACATCTCAGCACGTAGCAGCTGGTCACTGTGGGTGAAGGACTGCAGTTCACATGTCTCATTCCAGCACTCAAGGCTCTTAATAGCCCGTTTCTACAAAGACATTGGGGGAGGATGGGGAAGGGGAGTGAACAGCTGGGATCTGGCCTCAGGCCTGTCCCAGGGTGGGGATCCATGCACAAGAGGGCAGATCCAGAGCATGGACAGATACTTTCCCCAACTCAGAGTCTAGCTTAGTGGGGGTGG